TTTTCAATATCAGGTATTTTAATCGACTATAATGAAGCATAGTCGATTAATGAACTAACTACTTAAAAAAAAACACAACTACATAAAAACTAAAATCAACATTTCTTTCAAAACAAATAATATATATAAGTTGTAGTTGATTTATACAAATCGGAATCAATACACAAAAATCCAAAAATGAATTAAAAAATGAAGTCGAGTAACCTTAATCGACTACCAAAACAGTCGATTAACACTTTAATCGACTACCAAAACATAGTCGGTTAACTTAATCGATTATAAAAAAAAAAAAAACGTAGTCAATTAAGGGTCCAATCTGCACGAATTTCTCTACCCGTGCCGTCCTCCGCCCGATCTACCAAAAAACCCTAGATCTACCTCCCCGTCGTCACCCCACCGACGTCACACCACACCATGATCACCCCCCACCATCAATGCTTAGCCAGTGTCGGCAACGTCCTATGCGATCCCGTATCTCCACCAACCACCTCCCTTACGACCTCTTCTTCATCTCTCCTATATCTTTTCTTCACCTCCATCACCACCACCACCGTTTTTATTTTTAGCGGCGACGGCACCTCTAAAGAGACGTGTTCTTCGACAACGGCGGATTCTTTGAGAAGTACAGGAAGATTCCTTCAACATCTACGGCGGTGCGTCGTGGCTGTTGCCAGAGAAAAGAGGGAGAGAAAAAAACAAAGAATGAAGAAAAAAGAAACGAAAAAAGAGAATGCGATAAATGAAAATTGAAATTAGTGTTTTGAAAGAGTACATTGGACAATTAAATATAGTTTTGAAATTATGAAAAATAGCATTCGAGTGGAATATTACCTAAGGGAGTTTTCTCTAATTATTTTCTAGAGGGGTTTTTTTGACTACATTTCCTAGATGGGGGTGTTCTTGCTAATTTTCCCTAAATTTTATTTACAAATAATGTAACTTCTTTATTGGTTATTCAAAGTTGATTTTTCATAATATTTGCATACATTTTTTTAAGTTCAAAAAATAAACATTTGTCCTAAACTTAACTCATAATCAATAACTTTTATTTATACAAAAAACTTTTGCAAACACTAACTGCTATGTAGCATGGATATGGAAACTCTAACGGCGAAATGGGGAATCAGGCACCTGAAAACTCTATATTCCAAAAATTAAATATGGATCCGAGAACGTGAGGAAACAGGTAAATATTCAAAATATTCATAAATTCTAAAAATATTATAAACTTAAACATATATATTTATCGTCAATTATAGATGCGCATCCACAAATTATACATAACTTATGTACATATTGTTTTTTATACTATAGGACTAACATATCACAAGGCGACAATAAGTGAAAAATAGACACAAGATTTTTGCTTTTTTTAAATGTAGGCAATTTTGACTATTTACTTCAAAATGTAGATTTTTTTTTGTTTGCGGAAACGCATTATATTCTCATTTTTTTCATTATTACAAAAAATGTGTCCAAAACTTTTTGATATTTACATAAATAATCCCGAACGTTTCGAACATGTGACATGGAGTTTCGATACCAAAATGCGGAAAAGGGTAACTAAAAAAAAATAACGTGATTAATTATGTAAAAGAAATTAATGGTGACATAAGTTTTGGTAAAATTCCTTTCAAAATCACTTCCAAACATAATGGAGATTTTAGGAGTAGGGATGACAGCGGAGTAGGTACCCTCAAAAAAGTGTAATACAGTAGAATCTCGATAAATTAATACCTGATAAATTAATAACCTCGCTTAAATAATAATTTTTTCCGGTCCCGACTCGGGGACAACGTGCTAAATTAATAATTCGCTAAATTTATAATATAATGCACATTTGAAAATTTTAAGAATCCCCATATAATATATAAATTTGTTAGAATTTATTTCGTGCAGATTAAATTATTTGTGTCAAATTCAGTTTTTTTGTTACTGTTACGTGAAGTGTTGCAACAGTTCGTGAAGCAGTTCGTAAAAACATAAATAAATGAGACACAAATTTAATGTGGTTCAGATACAATTGTACCCTACATCCACGGGGACCTGCAAATGAAATTTACTAATTTTTTGTTTTACGAATACAATAGTAGGACTTAATCAAAATACAAAGACTCCATCTTTGTTGACGCCGTTCTTGTATACTACGCTGAATTATAAATCTTCAATTTGCAACACGTCCTTTGCTCCGCACGGTTGAACTCCCTTCAACGCTGAATCCCTCAATCGGCGGATCGATCTCCTCCCGAGATCTGTTTAAGCCTCTCTCCCGAAGAACCGATCTTCTTTTTGTATAGAAGAAGCAATGGTGTCTTCACCACAAAGCCTTGAAGCCGATATATTTTCTATGAAAATCACGTATCACAATGGAGCAATAAAAACGAGAGGAAAAAAATATTTTCTCTGAACTCGTCTCTCGATAAAAAGGATGCACTAAACTACGTTCATGCTCCTCCTTTTATAGTCTGGGAAAACTCCTGTATTAGGTTTCACCAAATTAGAGACGTATAAGGAATTCTTTAAAAGATATGGAATAAGAGTCCATGCCTTATTAAAATATTGTCATCCTAATCTAATGGGAATTCCCATGTAAACAAACAATCAATTAATGACAATAAAATATAAAAGATAATTATGGAAATCTTTTCCTTCTTAAAAAATCATACGCACAAGGACTATTGGATAGTCTTGATGCACAAAAACTCTTTTTAATTAATAAAATAGTTTCCTATATAAAAGAAACAATTAATGACAAATTAAAGAATTTAAGTAAACAAGAAGACTTCCCTTTTGTGTTTCACGGTACATAGGACTTGTTGCACAAGTCTTTACTCATCCCTTGTTTATTAGAATCCAATTAGATTCTAACAATCTCCCCCTTTGTCATTTATTGATTCTAACATTTTCTCCCCCTGAGTAAATTGCTTGGCTTGGTAGACTTGGAGGGCGGAGGAGGGCGACGTGGTATATCATCCCACGTGATAAAAGACTTAGCAAATAACGTCGGCATTAGCTCCTCCTTTTATATTTTGAATACCTAAACCAATTAATGACAATAAACACAATATTAAAAAAGTGAAATTCGTTCTATTTTGGATACACACGTTCAGATGTTAATATGGAGAGATAAATTATTTCTTCTCAAATTATCTAATGAGATAACTAAGGAAAATATGTTCCTCATATTAATACACATCTCCATAGAATTCCACTTGGTGTTGTGGACTTAGAATCCCACCGAGATTCTAACACTCTCCCCCTTTGCCATTGATTGGTCAGGACATTTACTCCCCCTAAATATATGATACATGCATGAACAAGGGTCAGCAAATTCAAAATAACATCTGCAAATATAAACTGTTGCAACAATTTCTCAAACAGTTCAGCAGATAGTGTAAACTGTAAATAAACCATAGTTCCAAAATTAAAGCAGATAATTCGTTCAGATAAGCACGAGATAAAAGGATATGCGGTGGCAGAAACAACTTCTCTTCACAATGCTCATTATTTGTCATGTATTTCTGCACTATTCCAGCAACTGTCTGATGCACTGTCACAACAGTTGTCTGAACGCCCCGTGCATTCTTGCACTGTTCCAGCAACTGTTAGATGCACTGTAGCAACAGTTGTCGGAACTCCCCCTGTGTTCATGCCATCGTTACTGTTCTTTTCTCCCAATTTCTGGGCAATCACCATCCATAGATAAATCAACTTGGACTAATGATCTTGATGTGTCGAGCAATCTGTTCAAACACTGAACAAAAAGATCAAACGAAGAGAGAATCTTGAAAGTAAGTGAGAAAAATCACCATACATAACGTGCACACAAAATAACAAACTCACAACTCAAAACCACATGATAATTGCAATGCGAAAATCAAAGGATAGTGATATCAAATCCAACATTAAATAACAAAGACGACAGACTTTGCCAAACTTCATACGAAACGTGGAAATGTGAGTAGTATGCCCAATAGATCCAGTTGCAACAAAAAAATCAAATTTAACCGGCACATAAACAAAAATCAAGTCTTTATATATATATATATATATATATATATATATATATATATATATATATATATATATATATATATATATATATATATATATATATATATATATATATGAAATGCTATTCATAGAACATATTTTACCGCCTTGTAGTGCGACTTTATTTCATTTGTAATTACCACAATTCTCTCAAACCCTTTCCCAATTATATTTCGTGCATGGACATTTCGTATTCCTTAACACGGAATGGATGAAGATTTCGTGCAAAGAAGCACGAAATAGTGTTTTTTTACGATACACGAAACCATAAATTTATGTTTTTTATGCAGTTCGTGTTGTATTGCACGAAATGAAACACTGCATTTCGTGCAATATAACACGAAAAATTTGACGATTTGGAAAGTTTAAAAATTCGGAGGTTAAGAGAATTTGGAAAACAAGTTAAAGGATTTTTTGACAAATGAATTATTTCGCACTGAATTAGGAAGACATTTTGAATTGCTTCTATTTATTTTATTTTATATTTTTTTTTTCATTTTGGAATCAGATAATTTTTTTTATATCATTAAGTAAGGATTAAATATTTGTAACATTAAACTTCATTCATTTTAATGAAGTTTTTTATCTTACTTTTAATTTCAATCAATAGTTTAGATTTTTCTGTTAGACTGCAAAGTTTTTTTTTTTTTTTTTCTTTTGTAACATGTTCGACTGCAAAGTTGTAAAATGTGTATTTTATTTATTGTTCGATATAAATCCGAAAATCGAAAAAATACATAAGCCGAGTTTGAGTCTATAGATATTAGGTCCGATGATATTTGAGTTTAACCCTATAATAATAAACCCCGATGATAAATGTGTTTGAACCGACCCAAACTCTACTCACATGGCCCCATTGCGACCCCTGGTGCAAACAATGTCAACCATTCCATGTGTCGTCAGCTTTTTTATCAAAGCTCCCAACTTCTCGCTTGTCACACATCTGTCGCCATTCCCACTATTGATTTTCTTGCACACACTGACAATACCACCACTAACCTCTAATGGCCGCCGCCCTCCCCCACCACAACGGCACCACCATCACCGCCGCCGCCCAAAATCCAACACCTGAACCCAAACCCATCACCCCATCGGAGCTCCGCTCCGAATTCTCCCACCACGACCCCACCATCGCCCGCATAAACAACGGCAGCTTCGGCTGCTGCCCCGCCACCATCATCGCCGCCCAGCGCCGCCACCAGCTCCTCTTCCTCCGCCAGCCCGACGACTACTACTTCAACACCCTCAAGCCCTCCGTCCTCCGCACCCGCCTCCTCATCCAAACCCTCATCAACGCCGACCACGTCGACGAGATCTCCGTCGTCGACAACGCCACCACCGCCGCCGCCATCGTCCTCCAGCACACCACCTGGTCCTTCTTCTCCTCCGCCTTCCTCCCCGGCGACGCCGTCATCATGCTCCACCACGCCTACGGCGCCGTCAAGAAATCCGCCCACGCGTACATCTCACGCGCCGGCGGCCACGTCATCGAGGTCCACCTCCCCTTCCCCATCAATTCCCCCTCCGAAATCATCTCCGAATTCCGAAAAACCCTCCAAATCGGAAAATCGAACGGCCGAATAATCCGGCTCGCCATCATCGATCACATTACCTCCATGCCCTCAGTAATCATACCCGTCAAAGAACTCGTAACCATATGCCGAGACGAAGGCATCGCAAGAATCTTCGTCGACGGGGCCCACGCAATCGGAAACATCGACATAAACGTGAAGGAAATCGGCGCCGATTTCTACACAAGCAACCTCCACAAGTGGCTGTTCTGCCCACCCTCCGCCGCATTCCTATACTGCAAGAAATCCGACGACGACGAACTCTCCGACGACCTGCACCACCCGGTCGTGTCCCACGACTATGGCAAAGGGTTACCAACCGAGAGCGCGTGGACCGGCACCCGCGACTACAGCGCCCAAATGGTACTGTCGGAAGTAATGACCGAATTCGTCAGCCGATTCGAGAACGGGATCGAGGGTATAATGGGAAGAAACCACGAGAAGGTAGTGGAGATAGCAGAAATGCTGGTCGCGTCGTGGGGGACCGAGATGGGGGCCCCACCGGAGATGTGCTCGAGTATGGCTATGGTGGGGATGCCGACTTGTTTGGGGATTAGGAGCGATTTCGACGCGTTGAATTTGAGGAAGCATTTGAGGGAGTGTTTTAAGGTCGAGGTGCCGATTTATTACAGGGAGGTTCACGATGATTGTTCGACAACGGGGTATGCGAGGATTTCGCATCAGGTGTATAATGTTGTTGAGGATTATTATAGGTTTAGGGATGCCGTTAATAAGTTGGTCGAAGACGGGTTTACTTGTGCTCGTCTCGATCTCCAAAAATGACGAGGTATGGTGTAAGTTTCTCTACTATTGATTTAAATCAGTTCTTGAATAACTGATTGACTTTGTGCCTTTTTTATATATTTGTTTCCGGTGTCTAAAAAGAGTTCCGTTGATCCTTGGTTTTCGATTATTGTCTAACCATATATACGGATGTACTAATGTACCGGACCGCCTAATTTTTGCCATGTCATCTTACTTCGAATTTTACGAATTTCATTTGCTAGGCTCTCCCCCGACGGTAATAAACACAATTAGTAATACAAATGCGTTTCTTTCCTTAAACCTTTTAACATAAATCCACTAGTTCGAAACAACGAGAGTTGTATTTATTATGAATGTAAAGATAAACTGTTATTGATTTTTTTTATTTTTTTTTTCGTACTCAACAGCTTACGAGGAGAAGGGAATGCTGACCTTGGAACGTTTGAATGTGGAAACTCTGTCTGAAAAAAATAATATCGGCATCGGGGCCTTGCGTGGTGTTTCCGTAAGACTGAGTATAATGATGCATAGTTGTACTGTGTTCGTTGTAAACGATCAACGACCCGTTGATTGTGATTTTCTTTTAGATGGATTTATCAGAGAATTCAAGCAACAAAGATTCTTGAAATGGGACTGTTTTTATTGCAATGTATGTATATATCTATGTCATATTGGAAGTTGAAAAATGAATTATAGGTAAAAAGAAAAATATTAGAATGTTTACCTCCGGTTGAAGTTGGAGAAAGATTCTCATCTTAATGTGTTGAACTCCTTTTTATATGATAGTTACTTCAAAACAAATCGATTTTGACAGAATTAAATAGAGATGAGTTAAAAAGAATAAAGGTAGCTAACTTGTCTATGTGTGGAAATCGGACGGATAGGATTAAAATGGAATAAGCACTTCCGAGATTTTTTTTTTTGACGTGGTTCAAAAGAAAATCGGAATTGGAATTTCCGAAATTAGCCTGATAAAAGTCGGTTCCAAATTGGAAATTTCTAGGGGTGGAAACCTGACGTAATAGATCGGAATGGTTTTTTCCAAAAATTTCCAAATTTTCGAAAGTTAAAAATGAATTCTTATTTCCATTCCATAAAAATCAGAATTTAAAAATCCATTCCGAATTAGGAATGTCTCGGATTCGGCGGAATTTCGTAGACTTCAAAACTGCATTAATTTACAGGTTAAATGGCAAATAGGCCCATGATAAGGGACTTAAATGCACATTATGTCAAAACAAAAAATAGTTTCGCAAATAAATCCATTCCCATGTCTTTTATCTGAAATACCCCTCATAATATAATTTTCATCAATTTCATATATTATACTCTAATTTCATCAATATTGCACATTGACCTCAGATTTGAACAAATATATCACATTAATCCAATTTTCATAATTTTTTGAAAAAAATATTTTTTTGTTTAGAATTTTTTTTTTCCGGCCAGATTCCGGCAATGACTTTTCTTTTAAACTCTTTTTTTATGAATTATTTCTTTCGGCCGGTCAACCGTTGATGACTTTTTTCTTTAAAACTTTTTTTATCTCTCTAAATTTCTAAATTATTGTGTTAACAAAAAAATTATTGTCTAAGACAGTAATATTGAATGCCAAAACAGTAATATTACTAATATTACTGTCCCAAACAGTAATATTACGGTCGGAGACAGTAATATTGCAGGCAAAGACGATAAAATTAATTAATACATTAATATTACATTCTTTTACTATAATATTACTGTCCGTGAGAGTAATATTGCAGGGCAAGACAGTAATATTAATGAAAATATATATTTTTTTCTCAAAAAAATTTCAAAAAAAAAAAGATCAGCGGCCGCTGACCTGTCCGAAAAAAATAAGTTTTCAAAAAAAAAAAGAAAAGAAAAGGTCAACGCTGGAGACCTGTGGCGACGGCGGTTAAAATTGGGGTCACAATTGGAATAATAGTCAAAATTGGTTAATTGGACTACAATGAAGTATAAATCATGAAATTGGAATTGAATTATGGTTTCAAGGAGTTGAGAGTAATTTTGGTATATATAAAAATATTTTTTCCTTATTTGCAAATTAGTTTGAATGAGGTGGAGAGATTTGCGACAAAAAAGTTGTATGTCCATTTTTCTAACTAAGTGTCCTTGTCATTTGCCCTAATTTATAATCTCTTGTTCAACATTCAGGTATAACGAGAATTTTCACTCGAATTTTTCCAGCAGAATGAAAGAAAATCCAATAGAGAATCCTACAAAATGCAATAAATAAAATGATATGTAAGAACAACAAAATGCAATAGAGAGTTTCTAATAAAAGAAAAATTGCAACATGAAGTTTTTTATACCAATTAATTTTTTATAAGGTTTTTTGCAGCATGAAATTCCATTCCGATTTCAGCCCCTAAAAATTTCCGATCGCAATGGGCATATTTTCATTTCGAAACTTTCCAAGTTTTTAGTCACCTAAATTTAAAAATATATAAAATTATTCATAATATAAGTATAGTCTTTGGGGGGAAAAAAAAAGGAATTTTCAGAATTATTCTCGATAACTAAAGTTGGATCGAAAATCGAAATCTCATATATACTCCAATTTCGATAAAAGAAATATTTGAAAAAATTCGGAATTAAATTTTATGAATGAAACATATTGCTCCAGAATCGGAAAAAAATTGAATTGAAATTGGATATTCCGTTTCAATTGTATGGTATTATATTTATTCCAGTTGTAGCCAATCCATAAATAAAATTTGCAAATTGGAATAATTATTTTCCCTTATAAAACCGTGATAATTTGACTCACACGAAACGACGGCGTTTTTTCTCCTGAGAGGTGATAAACCCCTCAACAGTGCCATCTCAAGAACAATTTCAATTTTGCTTCAAATCCCTAGAACCCTAATCCCCAAATCCCCAAATCATCTACCCCAATTCAAATCTTTCGATCCAAATTCACAGAGAGAGATTTTTACAGCCGACGATAGTGGCGGCGATTTCTCTAGAATTGCATTCACAATCGGCGGTCTAGATTCTTAAAACAGTTCCGGTGGGGTTAATATGGTGACAAACCAACACCCTCCGGCGGCGGCGGCCACCGCCGCCAGTTCTCTCGTCAAGACGGCGGCGTGCGGAAACTGCAACGTGTTTGAGCGGATGCTTCTCTTCCACGTGCTCCGCCGCGGGGTATACCTCCATCTCTGCGCCACCTGCGTTCTACGCCTCCACCACCAATTATTCTGCCCCAACTGTTTCCAAGTCCACCCATCGCCGCCGCCGCCGTCGCCGTCAAACGACGCCGCCTTCACCACCTGCACCAAGTGCTTCTCCTCATCCCACACCATCTGCGTCCCGTCCCCTCGCACCACCCCCTACATCTGCCGCCTCTGCACCGACCCGAACGCCGCCACTTTCAGATTGAAAACCCTGAAAGAGGCTGGTGTTGGAGAAACTGGCGGCGATCCACGCAGGAGGGCGGTGATGGATGCAGACGCGGTGAAGAAGCTGTTTGCCGCTGCGAAGATTGCTACAAATTCCATGAACAATGCGGCGGTTGCTGCAAGTGAAGATGCAGAGAGGAAGGTGATGGAGGCAGCTATGGCGAGGAAGGGGGCCACACAAGCATTGGAGCGTGTCGCGTACTTGGAAGTCAAGGAGAAGGCGGCGGCGGCAAAGAAGACGAAAGAAGCTTCTTCGGCTGAGGTAGCTGCCGCTGCTGGTGGTGGTTTTAGGGTTTGGTTTAAGCCATAATAAACCAGACAATGCAGCCCCGTGTAGTAACATGGATGAAGAGATCGATATAATCGGAAACGGAGTTGATGAAGTTGAGTTGGGGGAAGATGATATGATAGATGATATGATATCGTAATTTGAAACTTTTGCTAAGGTTTATTGGTCGTGTTCAAAGTTTCGATTTTTGCAGGAATTTTAAGGTCGGAATTGTGACGACAGTTTTTTTTTTTCTTAATTGAACATATTTTTTTATATTTTTTATGACAGTTTGATGGATCGTATGTGAATTCTCTCTTGTTGAATTATTTTTCTTTTTACATATTTTTGTAGCTTTTCGATAAGTTGCGATGTGATTGTGTAAGTATGCTTTATATAAGTTGCGATAATTTGCTTCGCATACTGCTTTTGGAAGCATTCAAATGCTTACCGGAAGTACTGCTGCAAGTTCGTCGCAAATAGAATTGATCAACACAGAAGATACACGGCTTATGAAATCTGCCACGTGGTTTTAAATCGTAGATGCACTTAAATAACTATCCAATTAACACATACATATGTGGGTGTGTGTCCACGTGGTTTTAAACCGTAGATCCACATAAATAACTATCCAATAAACATATATACACGTGTGTGTGTGTGTGTGTTATTATAATGTATGTGTAGATCAATGGTGTAAAATTACATAATTTAATTTCGCCGGATGCAGGTTCTACAAAACCGAAGGTACACCTGTATGCTTTTGCAACAATTGTTTCTAGTCATACTTTTATATAGACACTGAAGCTTGTAGTGAAACTTCTGTAATTTGCAGAGGTAGTAGTAGAATAAGGAGGAAAAGAATAAAAGATCATTCTCATGGCTAAACAATTATTTGTCAAAATAAAATTAGAATTGATTGATTTTCAATCTTTTAATAATTAAAACAAATATATATATATATATATATATATATATATATATATATATATATATATATATATATATATATATATATATATATATATATATATATATATATATATAGTGTATTTGAGTGAAACGATAAAATTGCACAGTATGATGGAACTATGGGTGGTAAACGAGCTGAGCAGCTCATGACCTCGATGAGTCGGTTCGAAAAAAGCTCGAGCACAAACTTGTTTTTACTTGTTCGTGAGATCGCGAGTCTATTTTTTTTTCTTTTTATTTTAATAATGTATAATAATATAAAATATTATAAAATGATATAAAAACTAAAAAAAATGTATAAATATTAAAAAATATATGTAGTTATAATATAAATATGTTTTAATAATAATAGAATGTAATAATAAAAAAAAACCAAAATGAACTCGGGCTCGAACTCGAGCTCGCCAAAAAAAGTAAACTCGACGAGCTCGAGCTCGACAAAGTAAACTCGAGCTCGAGCTCGGCTCGTTCACAGCCCTAGGTGGAACAACTCACAAGACAAGTATATCTGAATCCCAACTTACATTAAAACGACGCCGTTGGAGCATCCTGCGCACCCCCAATCTCTAATGAACTATTTCGAATTTTAAATTTTTCTGCGGAACCCTAATCCCCAAATCACAGAACGGTTTTTCAGCCGCCCATGAATCAAATCTTTACACCAAATTCAATGAAAAGAGATAGTGTTGATTTCTCTACAACTTCACATTCAGTGCTAAATATGCTGAGTAAGCAAGACACTCCTCCGGCCACAACCAGTTCTCCGGTCACTGGGGGGTGTGGAAACTGCTGCGATGTGGAGGACCCGCTGGTGCTCCACCACGCGCACCACGTGCACCACCGCGGTGTCTTCCTCAACCTCTGCACCACCTGCGTTCTACGCCTCCACCACCAACTCTTCTGCCCCAACTGTTTCCATGTCCACCCACCGCCGCCGCCGCCGCCATTCTCACCTGTTCCAAATGCTTCTCCTCATCCCACTCCCACTGTGTAGTGTCCCCACAAACACCCTACATCTGCCGCCTCTGCACCGACCCCGGCGCCGCCACATTCAGATTGGAAATCCTTGAAAACGACGGAGGCAGGAGGGTGTTCTTGGACAGAGAAGCGGCGAACATGCTGTCGGCCGCCGGAAAGATTGCTTCAACTTCTATCAACAATGCGGGGGTTGCAGCCGTCAATGCGGATGCTGAGAAGAAGGCGAAGGAGGAGGCACTTGCGAGGCGAAGGGCGTGTGAGGCCGCAGGTGGTGGCGGTCGCCGCGGGTGGGTGTACTATGGGGATAAAGTGGAACGAGAACGCGATATAGTTCCGCCTCGTGATAGGAATTCGGGTGTGGGTTCGATCGGAAATGTGGAGAGAGTGGATGATTCTCATCAGTCTGTGGCGACATATATTGTATCTAAGTTGATAAAATATGGGAGGATAATAGCTTAAGGCCCCGTTTGATTGCCAAGATAAGCCAAGATTAACTAAATAGTTGGACTTAATTTGATGTTTGGTATCGGCAATTTCCGGGTCGACCCATCAAAATTATGTAATCATGGCTTATCTTGCCTTCTAGTGTGTTTTGTTTGTTGGACGTCGCAAGCTCTAATAAAATAATTGAGTTTCATTAGACTATTTAATCTTATCTTGGCTAATCTTATCTTGTCAACCAAACGGTTCCTAAGAGAACAAGAATTGTCACAGTTGATTGGATTTCAAGATTTGCAGTTTTTAACCTTCTTGAATTTGGTTGTTTATGTCTGTAATTCTGCTAAGGTTATTGGCAGTGTTTCGGAAGCTCGGCTTTTGTAGGACTTTCCGACATAAGTTGACAAAGTTGACAGACGCTCTTTTTTGTAGAGATTTTCCGAAATAAGTTGCTATGTGATTGTGCAAGTATGATTTAAATTTGGATGTCAAATATGTTCGGACTATTATGGGACCAAAATATGTTCGTTTCGCAATGTAACGAAATGTTTGAATGGGTTGAAAATTGTACTAAGCTGGATCGGATTCGGGCCGGGCCGGTGCTTCCCTGCTTCGCCAAATTCTAAGGTGATTTTGTCTCTCTAAAACGGAGATGTATAGATGTATGAGGATTTAGGCATTTAGCAGCTAATATAGTCTATGAAGTATAAATCGAAGACAATAGCTCAAAACATCAAGAAATAGCTCTTCCGGAAAAGTCGACAAAATCGATCACATTTTTCCAAGACCCTCTTCAAGTATGCAACTTACACTATCTTCTTGCTTACCAAACATTCCATCAGCAAATTCTCTGCTGACCATTTCGTTTCTTGCAATAGAACCCATTAGCAACACGTGCGTAGAACCATGTGGGACCCACCCCTTCTCCAACATCAAATCAAGCAAATACTTCGCCTCGTTTTTATACCCTTCTCTCCACAGAAAATCAATGAGTACGTTATACGTAGACGGATCAAGAAACTCGGACTTTGAGATAAGTTTATACATCGAAGGCAAAAGCAAGTGCAATTCAGAATCCTTAGCCAAACACGACAACAAACAAGCTAATGTTTGCGAATCGGGCACTAATTCCTCGCTTAGCATTAAGTCGAAAAAAGCAAGACAATCACCTTTCCGATTAAGAGCACTCATACCTTGAATAAGTACGCAGTACGTTTCAACGGTAAAATTGCAGCCTAATACTATCATTCGCGAAAGTACCACCAAGATGCAATTTTTCCGTCCCGACTCGAATAAACCTCTCAAAATACTATTGTAAGAAGCCGAACCAGTGCAATAAGCTAGAGATAGTAATTTGATTGCTCGTTTAACTTCGCCACTTAGGCAGATTTTCTCGATCAACACACCGAACGAGGTGGATCGAAGAGCACAGCCTTTATCAGACATATATAAAAACAAATCCGCCGCTTCTTGAATATTTCCCCTCTCACAAAGAGACTCAACAAATTCTGCGTACGAGACGGAATCCAAAACCCAACTTTTCGATCTAACACGGGCAAATAAATCTAAAGCATGCACAACGTTTCCCGATTTGCAATTCCCGAGAATAATAGAAGAGTAAGTAGCGGAATCCGCAGGAAAAGAAGAAACAACCATTCTACAAAGATACTCCGACGCTTTACCGACCACTCCCTTCTCACAAAGGAATCTGATAAGGATATTCCACGACGTAGAATCAATTAATTCTCTTTCGAACATTTTGTCGAACATACCTTTTGCCATTATAAAATTACCATTCTCACAGTAGGACTCAAGAAGTGTATTACGAACACAAATATCCTCGATATTTCTCTCGTCCAAAATGTGTCGGGCTTCGTCGAGTCTATTTAACTTACAAAACCCGTTTATCATATCCACAAACACTTGATTATCGGGCGATAAGCCACTATCGATCATCTCTTCGTAAAGTTTGACTGCATCATCCAATCGAAGATATCCACACAAACATCTTATCACAGCTCCGTAAGTGACGCAATCGGGAGCTGTCTTAGAAGCTCTCATCATTTCAAACAACATTAATCCGATCTCGAGATTCTCCATATTACAAAATAAAGGTATTACGCAAGTGTAGAAACCCGAGTCGGGCTCACATCCACACCGAAACATATCGTGCAATACGAGAATCGATTCTTCGACTCGATTCCTAACAGCAAGACCGCTTATTAGGATTTGGAAAGTCCTAATATTCGGAGTACATCCTTTCTTTTCGATTCTTCTGTACTGATCCATAGCTGCATCAACTCTTCCCGACTCGAGCAAAGACTCCAGTAGGTGATTTAGTGTGTCGATATTCGGTAAAATTCGGGATTTCACCATTTCTTTATACACAAACAACACATCTTTAAAATCCCTTTTGTCCTGTACAAGTGCACACATTAACGCATTAAAGATGCATATCGAGGGCTTCGAATTACTCGAGTTCATAACATAAAGAACCCTCAACGCTTCACTAAGCCGACGACTACGAACAAACGAATCAATTAATTCCGACAGAGACTTATCGAAACCCGAGAATTTCTCCCTCACCATTTCATTGCAGAACCCCTCCATTTCTTCAATATTTCCAGCATTGCCCAGCTTCAAAATCATCATGCGGTATGTATCTGCAGTGTGGTAAAATTGTTTTTGAAGGGAAGCCCATTTGAATAGATTTACTGAAGAATTCAGATCGTGGGTGTTCTTCAAAATCGAAACTAAGGTATCTGGATGAAGCTTGTTCTTTAAAAATCGAATCTTTGCTTCAAATTCGGAGGGGTTTTTTGATTGGGTTTGGTCTGGTGGTTCTTGGGTGGGCAAAACGGTAATTGCGCATGATAGTGAAGAAAGAGGGGCGATTGGAGAAACCCAGTTGAGAATTCTCCTGGACTGTGTTAAAGATGAAAGCTTTACAGCCATTGAAGAAGGTGCTGAAATGGTAATTTTACTGAATCAAGATGATAAATCTCCATGGAATTTTTTCTCAGGGTTTCGTTGTTGGCTGCAAAATTGACTACGGAACGGAGAAGCTCTAATTATATATTTTCTTGTAGCTCGGAAAGAGGATTTTACTATGTCTGGTGAAGAAATAGTGTATCTGGTCTTTCATTAATTCAATCAAATTTTACACCAAATAATAAAACAATAATATTTTAGCATTTTTCTATTTATAGAAAAAAAATATTTAATTTGGTTTCCCGTTGTATTTTACCAAATGTATTACAAAATTATAAATTGGCGGCGGTTATATGCAAGCCCATTTTTTTATTAGTTCAACCTCCAATGTAAAAATACTAATTTACCCTTAATGAAATTTAAAATCAAATAAAAAACACAAAACATTAAAAAATAAAATAAAAATCACTTCCTTTGTGCAAGACCAAATAAAATACATAAATCCAGAAACCCTTCTTTTTTATTTCACGACTTAAAAATCTCCACCTTCTCCTTCTTCTTCACAAACCCACCAAGAAATCCTACACACCAAAATTATCAAATACATACCAAATATTCACGATGGAACCATAAAACAATGATATGGTGGTTTACGAGGGTGGAGAAAAACATAATGAAGTATGTTTTTACCGTTTATGTTTGCTTTTGGGTCTTTTTTTTTGTTGGGAAAAAAATCGACGATACCAAAAATCGGTCTGCAAATACCGATTTTTGTTCCTAAAGTCGGTAACCACATTCCGATTATTTTAATAAAAATCGGTACTTAAAAACCGACTTTTATAGTACAAATCGGCATGACAACACCGATTTTCTTTTGTAGTATCGGTATTGTCATGCCGACTTGTACTACAAAAATCGGGTTTTAAGTACCGATTTTATTATCTGTGGTTTTTAAGACCGTTTTCTCATACTTTCGTACAGCAACCTAGGGGATTAATGGAGGATTATTCAAATGAATTATCTAACGATTAAATATTTGAGACACGGAAAGCTCTACTCGATTGGGTTAAAGGAGTTGGTAAACGCCACCGAATGGTGATAAACATTTTCGTTTCAAATATTTAAAAAAATATCAATTAACCAAATATATAATGTATTATTTCAAAAAATCCGAAAAATATCGGTATCCGAAAACCAATTTTGTACTCAATAATCGACATTAGAACGCCGATTTTGACTTGTAAAGTCGACGTTATGTCGCCGATTTGGTTAACAAAAATCGGCATTATGACGCCGATTTTCGTGTACAAAATCGGTCTGGGTAAACCGATTTGGGAAACCAAGAAAAAAAAAAAAAACAATTTCAATCTCAATTTTTTTTTCCAAAATCGGCCAAAACATTGCAACCCAACAAGAAATAAGAATAGGTTAATGTTCATTCATACATATTTATCAAGAATCGATGCTCGATTAATGTTTTCGAATTTACAAATAAAAGTTTAGTAAAAAAGACATCGATGCTCGATTAATGTTTTCGAATTTACAAACAAAAGTTTAGTAAAAAGGACTTAGCTTGTTGGTGGTGGTGCGGTGGTGGTAATGGTGCGGTGGGTGGGTCGCTGGTCATCGTCGGTGCGGTGTAAGTCTCGCTGGTCGGCGTCGCGGCGGTCTGGCGGCGGCAGTCATGATATTTTTTTTTTTTGGTCTTGAACAAATGAAAAATATGATTTATTTATGTTTGAGTATTATTTATGGATAAGGGTATATTTGTCATCTTTGGTTTTGATGTAATAAAATTAGATTAATTTACGAGCTTGAACTAATAAACTCCTTCATGTGTGTTTGAACTAATAAAAAAAAGGACTTGCATATAACCGCCGCCTTATAAATTTAATGTTAATCATAATTTTTATCTATTTTTATTTCAAAAATAATGATTATCAATCCGATTATATTATAAGTAATAATGTTACTGATTATATAATAATAATAATAATAATAATAATAATAATAATAATAATAATAATAATAATAATAATAATAATAATAATAATAATAATAATAATAATAATAATAATAATAAGGGTAAATTACAAACACCCCCCTGAGGTATGGTCAAATTACAAAAACCCCCCCTCTTGTTTGGATAATTATATCTACCCCCTCAACTATCATTTTTTCTTACACCTCCACATTACACTAAATCCTATTTTAATTTCTATTTTTGATAGGTAAAATAGGATTTGTGGAAAAAATAGTAAAATGGTGGAAAAACTGTTGATGTAAATTTCTTCCACACACAAATTAGTGAAAATATATGATTTAGTAATATGTTGATATAGGGTTTGACCACAATGGTGTATGGTGGAAGAGGCCTAAGAGCCCCAAATTAAATCTAATTTGAATTAAATGAGAACATTATCTTATTTTTTTTTAATAAAATTCCTACATTGAAATCGTATATGACTCGGATTCCTAATTATTTTTTATCCCTAATTTGTCCTTATACCCTAATTAAATTTATATTATTCTTGTGAAATAGAGTTTAAATCAATAAAAAATAAATTAAATTTAATGGAAATAAGATTCAGTAAAAAAAAAAAAATCAATTTAAAATAATAGTACAATTAAACATCTCCGCCTTTTACCTAATTTAAATTTTACACTACTCATACCCGTCCTATATTTTTTCGGGGTCAAATTGACATCAATACTCTTATTATTATTGGCCAATGACTTCTATTGATTTTTGGGCAGCCTTCTCTTGGATTTGTTATAAGTTATAAACTCGTATGAAAAGTTTGATTAACGAATGAATCAAATTGAAAATTTAAATAGTAGGAGTAAAGAAAAAAAAATATAATACACCATCAAATATAATTTGATTGTGAAAGTAATATATATATATATATATATATATATATATATATATATATATATATATATATATATATATAAAACGAATGAATCAAATTGAAAATTTAAATAGTAGGAGTAAAGAAAAAAAAATATAATACACCATCAAATATAATTTGATTGTGAAAGTAATATATATATATATATATATATATATATATATATATATATATATATATATATATATATATATATATATATATATATAACACAAAAAAATAATATTATATAAAATGTGACATTTACACTTCTTTCTTCTTTTTCTCACACACTCCTCTCCACGGGGTAAAATATTTCCCCCAATGTATAAATCTATTTACATATATAAAAAGGGCCACACATTTATTTTTATACAAATATATATATATATCCCCATTTACATATT